CAAGTGGGTAAGAGTTACAATGTGTATTGGAATAGTTTATTTTAATTTCATTTTTTGTCTTGTTCTAGCAGCTCAGAGTGAGGAATACTGGTGTTTGAAACCAAAAGAAATGCAGCTGCACAATGAAGCTCGTTAGGAGTCTGTTCGAAAAACGAGGACTTTGCAGAAACAACCGCATCCTTTTTGACAGCAGTTGCTGAGAAAAGATGAACCATCTGATGCAAAAACTTTTGAAAACAAAAAGTAAAAAAAAAGTTGTGAGGTTGAGAGAATTCAATTCAATTCAGTTTATTTATATAGCTCCAAATCACAGCAAAGTTGTCTCAGGGCACTTTACAGAAACATTCACATACATAAAAAAGCCAATTAGTAAAGTTCTCTATCTAAGGAATCACTGATACTACTTAGGGGACTGTCTTTATTTTTTAGAATTATTTTATTCACATAAATATCTGTTTTATGTCACATTTTTTGGCTTGTTTGAGGCAGAGCAGAGTGAATACTGGCATTTGGAAGGAACAACTGTATCCACCACCAGGCACAATGACAGATCCAGGGGGTGGCCATTGGTGGCCTTGACCACCATAAATTAATTTTCATCCATCCCAAGAGCCATCCCAATCACTTGAAGAAACTACTTTTAGGCGATAATAAAAACTAGAAAACATAGTTTCCTTAAATTATAGAGATGGTCGCTAATTTACATGTATATGTGGCGGTAACCATCTTTGCTTTTGATGAGATAACCCATTTTTTGATAGTGATTTGTCTTATTTATAGATGCAGCCATATACATTCCCCCTCTTGGCTCCGCAGCAGGGGACAGAAAAAATAAATAAATAATAAGTTTTCCACCCAAAAAGTTTTCAAACAGTAAATGGAAACACACCAATCACTGAGATAAATCTTTTTGGTAAAGATTTGATTGTCTCAGCAAAAATAAATTATTATAAAAACAGATTTTTTTATTTTTTTTTGCTACCAGAAACCTTCACAGGACCCGTCAAACTCATTTTGCAACTCTTTAATAGGTGTTGACCAATAGTTTCGACAACACTGAGTGAAACTCTTGTCAAATAGCGTTCACATTCATCAGATGAAACAATGGGACCTTCGGTGTCCCAACCTAAACCTGCTGTTTATTTCTGCATTTTACAAGATGCCAGTTATTCAGGCCCATCCGCTTCTCTCAAACAAAACACTTTTGTTGTTTTGTACTTTTACTAAAGAAGGGAGTGGTGGTGCAGAGGTTAGAGAAGGTGAACCTGTGATCGGAAGGTCGCAGTTCGACCCTCAGGATCGACAACATCAAATTGTGGGTGGGAAAGGTGAAGCACCCACATCTGCCTCCACCCTCATTTGCGCCACACTGGGTCCTTGAGCAAGGCCCTCAACCCCCACCATCTGCTCCCCCGGGCACCCTAGAGCAACTCTCTTCTCCACACAAACAGCTGTGGTAACTCGGTTGTCTGTGGTTGTGTCAGGAAGGGTGTCCGGCGTAAAAACAATTGCCAAGTCTTTGTGCAAGTTAATTTGCTGTGGCGACCCCTGAAAAGGGGAGCAGTCAGGAAAAATAAAAGATAAGATAAAAGGATATCAAGGTGTTATCTAAAATTTGTAACCCCAAAAGAATCTTTCAAACGCTCTGATCTGTTGACTCAACAAATGTTTGATCAGCTAATCAAGAACTCCTAAAACATGCTAGAACAACAAATAAAGTCAAAGGGATAGTTCAGACATTTAAAATGGGATTTTATGAAAAAGTAAATAAATAAATAATACTAAAAAAATAATAAATAAATAAATAAATAAATAAATAAATAT